AAAATTAAATTAAAATATAAAATTAAATTAAAATATAAAATTAAATTAAAATATAAAATTAAATTAAAATATAAAATTAAATTAAAATATAAAATTAAATTAAATATCCTCATAAAATTAAATATTAAAAAATACAGAAAGCAACCAGCCATCTAAACTCAAAAGAATCTAGTCCTGAGTGTGCACATACATGCAGAGTGAAATGATCAATTGCAAATGGTAATTAAAAGGCATTCCCAAATGTTTAGGGCAGTTCTGAGATTTCACTTCCTTGTGGGCACCCAGCAACCCCACCATCATCCTGGGCATAACTTTGCAGTGCACTCACCACAGTGTTGTTCATCTGAGCCATCGGGGCAGTCCTGTGCCCCATTGCAGCGCTTGCTAGAAGGGATGCACATCCCAGTCGAGCACTGGAAACCATTGCATTTCCTCTCTGCCGTTCAATCCCACAAGGAAACAAAGAAACCAAACTTAACTTTTAATCTCATGAGACTTTCAGCAAACCTAGACTAATGCCTTTGGTCTACCAAAGCAGAAAGAGTTGGGTAGAGGATGAGGTGGCTATGAAAATTAATTCTCACATGGTCAAAAGCCAACAGCCTCATACCAGATCTGGCCACTACCAAAACAAGGAACAGATGGAAACTGCATCACCCTACCCGCCCATCCACCTACCCAAAAGAGAAGTGCGTCCAGCCATTTATGTAGAGTGCATTGAAGAAAGAGGCACAAGAGATTTGAACACTGATTGTTTAAATAGTCCTCACATTTGATACACTGGAAGTTTTGTAACTGCATCTTAGCATTGCTATAATAAAGCGACCTTGTCAAAAAGTTCCTAGATCTTCTGTTTAATTGGTCTAGCTCACTGGGAGAAGTCTGACAGTGGTCAACGTTAAGAGGAAGTTAAACGTCAGAATGAAAGAGAGCATTCGCCTATATCTAGAGAGAAATTCCATTACCACAATTGATGGGGTCCTCATCTGTTCCATCTTGACAATCAGTGTCCCCATCACAGGCCCATCTCTGGGGGATGCAATGCCCATTTTGGCAACGGAAACTGGAGGCTTCACAAGTATGATAAACAGCTAAAAGCAAGCACAGCACAGACTGTTGACTTACCAGCATGGAGGGGCCAAAACAGGACAGAAGGGCAGAGAAGCACATGGAAATCAAGATAGCAAATTGTGGGAGCAAACAGGAGTATTCAAGCATCAGCAACAGCACCCCTTCTGGCTGCACGCAATCTCTCGTAACCCAGCCAACAAGGGATCAACAGTCCATCACAAAGAAGACTTAGAAAATGAGTGAATTCAGTAACCAAGTGCAGACTGTTGTGTGAATGCAACCAACCTAAAGATAGCTCCAGGACACCAGCTGTGTTTGCAAACCAAAACAGTCTGAAAGAGAAGATTTAATGGGCATTACTCAGCTGTCTTAAACGTCGAACTGGCTGCCCTTCCAATTGCTGGGTAACAAGAATATAAACCCTGCTGTATTGGATCAGGTCAAGCTGACCATCTCAGCCTGTCACGCAAGATCAGCCTTATCACGATCAGTTCACAAGCAAAGCCTGGAAGTGACAGTCTTCCCCTGCCATTTGTCCCTAAGACTTTGATCTTAGATTTTGATCTTAGCTCTGATTGCAAACACTCACTGGCAGATCCGTTCCTCTTCCACTTGCCCAAATCTTCTCCCAAAACCAGCAGTCAAAACATATTTGTGGCAGTACATTCCACCACTAACTGATGCCTTTTGCAAAGAAAGGTGGCTTTTTTCCCTGCCCAGTATCAATTTGATGGGGTAATTTTGAATTCTAATATTCTACAGGAAGAAATTAAATGTATTGCTGTTCTTTTTCTCAACCACCTGTATTTTCCCAAACATCTGTTTTATCCAAAACTTCATGCTAAAGAGCCCTGATAACTTTGTCTTTTCTCCTAGGACTTGTGGAGTGTAATCCTAGAAGCCTTAAAGAAGTTCATATTGTTGCATGGAAATACAAAGTTGAGTAGCTCTGGGTACAAAATAAACATACCTGTTTTTTTCAGCCATTCTGGCCCTTCCATCTTAGTCTGATTACATATTTCAGTTCTGTTTTTACCAGGAAGGAGAATCAAGTTCACCATCCTAAGTTCTCTGCTGCTTACACCAGCATGAGAATGACATATTTTTACA